TTAGACAAGTGAAAATAGGTAAATCCTTTCATATTTTAGACGTTTCAGACCTTAGTCCTGATTTGATTAGTTGATTTTAGGTTTCTAAGATTTTAGTCCTGATTTGATTAGTTGATTTTAGATTTCAAATCTTAGTCTTAAACTTAGACTGTAAGTTTCTTTCACCTGAATCGAGTTAGAAAAATAATTTTCATTTTACTGTATGCTTGCATTATATTTTTGCAGTTGACATTAAAATCATTTGCTTTCATTACATATATCTATACTATTGTATGAATAAGAATATCCTGAAGTCTTTCTGGATGCTCTCCAAAACTTTCTTAGTAGATGATTGGTTGAATTTTAACTATGAATATATGGCTTATTTTAGTTTATTCGATGGCATTGTTAAACTGTTTGTTCAAACTCATGCTTTGGTTAGTCATGTTGACAGATTCATTATGCAGACAAATGTTAATCTCTACGTTGACACTATTTTCCATTTGTTTCATCGTGGCCACGCCAAAATGGTTAACATCAAATGCAGTTTTGTTTGGATGAACAATTTTTAAAATGTCTTCATCCCTGTGAGACCTACAGTATCACCATTCACCAACTGACCCATTTAAGAGTCAACTACTTAAGCTTCAATTAATTTTAGGTTAAATCTTGTGTCCATGCTATGATTTGTTTGGGTAACTTTCATCCTTTTTTATTTTGCATTGCCTTTTAGTTGAAATTGCAACGAAATGAAGTGATTGTTCTGATGAAAGCCGCCCCATAAAATAATTTATTTGTTTTAATTGTATTAGTCAATTGATACTTGTGTAATACTGTTTATATTGAGTTAATTTGAATTTTTACGTAAAATTTGTAATTCTGTAGTTTAATTCTATTTGTAATTTCAATTGTATTAGTCAATTTATGTATTATAGTTTACGTATTAGTCAATTTATGTATTATAGATTAATTCTATTTTTTTGCCTTAAACAAATGGATTCTTCCGAACACAATATTATAATTTCTAATGAAGAAGATCTGGTTAAGCATGAATCTAAGGTAGTTGCAACTCCAACAACAAAGACATCAATTGGTACAACTACAACAAATGATATATTTAATCATAAGCGACAAAAGACTTCAATAGTATGCAAATATTTTACATAATTAAATGAAAAATATCCATACGGCAAGAAGCATATATATATATATATATATATATATATATGCAAGTCTAGTTATGGAATTGGTAACATGCATACTCACACGGAAAAAATGTGTGAAAAAAGACACCGAGGATATTGGACAATTACTTTTAAGTCAAGGTCAAGGATCTATGCTAATGTGATCCACAAAATTTGATCCTGAAAAGTTTCGTGAGTTAGAGGTTGAGGCAATACTTAAGCATGATTTATTATTTCGATTTGTCCAATATGAGGGTATTAGAATAATGTTCAAGTATGCTTATGAGAAAATCAAGATGCCTTCTAAGAATACTGCAAAGTCAGATGTGTTAAAAATGCATAAGAGAGATAATGATAAACTTAATATTGTGTTGGGTTCCCTTTCTGGAAGAATTTGTTTGACATCTAATTTGTGGACTTCTATATCGGTAGTTGCATCTAAATATGAATTTAGTATCGGTGGTAGAGTTTTGAATAAATATCGAAATTCACTTTTGCCAGAACTGTTCAAGCTTTGATTTGTACTAGAGATTGGATTCATGGGAAGAGTAGTAAGTTTGATTCCATTTTTACTAGTATTATTTTTTTCATTATCCTAATTCATGTGATCATTGATTCATTTATGTTTTGTTGTGCTTAGTTGTAGAAGATTGTAGTGATAATTCGGAAGGAAAAATAGATGATGATGTTTTCAATCTAAATATGAAGTATAATAAAGCTAAATCCGCTCAATATTCTAATTCTATATCTATCATTGATTATGACTAAACAGAGGTATTGAAATATGTAACTTGTAATGTCAAATTTTTGTTACTTATCTAGTTATGAGTTTATTTAATTATTAATTTATATAACATTTCATTTTAATTTGTGTAGGGTATGAGAATTTGGTTGTTAAATCTGCTCGTTGTCGTGGAGGTGGAGATTTGATCTCTATCACAGGATTTTGTGAATAATGATATTTGGTGATTTTGTGAATCATGAAATTTATGGTTGTTTGGAATTGTAGTTTGTAATATGATTGTTATTTTGTGTAATTGTGTTATTTTAGATTGTATTTATGAATTATAATATGGTTGTTGGTAGAATTTGGTTATTTTGAATTATAGTTTATACTTTGTAATATGGTATGGTATCTCTAAATATCACATTTATTTGTGTTAGTTTGTTAGTTTTATAAAGTTATATAGTATTTTTAAATAAATAGGTAAATGGGTCAAACGGATAGTTTATCGTGTTAACCCGACTCTATCCAACCCGACTCGTTTAAAATTAGACATGTTAAACGAGTCGTGTTGCATTACCCGTTTATTAAATGGTTCGTATTCGTATTTATATTTTTTATCTGTTTATTAAACGTATCGTGTACGAGTTTACATATTTTTCACCCGTCACCCGTTTAACCCGACACGTAATCATTTCACCCAATACGTTGGATACCCCTAGTTGTGGTGGTGGGTGGCAGTGATAGTGGTGGAAAATAGTGATAGTTGTAATGGGTGATGACGATCGGTTGTGACGGTCGTAATCGTGGGTGGCAATGGTGATGGTAATGGTGGGGCGATGGGGCTAGTGGTGATATGGTCGATGGTGGGATAGTGGTGGTAGGGTGGCGGCAGCGGTAGTGATGATGATGATGGGGCTATGGGGTGGTGGGGATTATGATGGTTGTTGTGGGGCGGTGGGTGTGGTGGTCATGAGGGGTGGCGACAGTGATGACGGTGATGCGGGTAGTTATGGTGGTGGGGTGACGATGATAGTGGTAGTGGTGATGGTGGGGTGACGACAGTGGTGGTGGTTGTTATTGAAAAGGTGGTGGTGGGTTTGTAGCGGTGGTGTAGCGGTGGTGGGTGTGAATGTGGGGCGATAGTGGTGGTAGGGTGGTAACAGTGATGGTTATGGCGGTGATGGGACGATGGAGGTGGTGGTAGTGGTGATGGGGGTGGGTGGGGTGGTGGTGGGGGAGTGACGACAGTGGTGGTGATGGTTGTTATGACAGAAGTGGTGGTGAAGGTAGTTGTGATGGTGGGATGACGGTGGTGGTGGTGGTAGTAGTGATGGTGGTGAGGTGGGGGTGGCCATGGGAGTAGTGGTGGGATGATTCTAAATATTATTATTTTTTTTAAGTGCTTATAAAAAGTTATAAATTACAGAAGCACTTTTAAAAAATTACATCAAACACATCATTAAGGGTCTATTTTTTCTATTAAATTTAAAATGTTAATATTAGTCGTCGGATTAACTTTAAAATAAAATTAAAATAGATATCAACCACGAAAAATAAAAGTCATTTTATTTATCTTTTGAGATTTAAGTTATATTGTACTTTATTATATAGATTATTAGATTGTGACATTATATGGCAGTGATTAGGGGTGTTCATAGGCTAGCTTGGGCTTGGGTATAGGAAACCCAAGCCCTTACTCAAATGAGTTATCGAACGGGCCGAATCGGGCTTCAGGTAGGGGCATACTATTTGCAGCTCAACCTGTCACTCATTGGGTGGGTGTATTGGACGGGCCTACTAGACAAGTTTTTTATATACAACTTCATTTAGAAATAATGAATGTTTTTTTAACTTAATAGTTTTGTAAATTATTTTTTTGAATTAAAAGTAAAATCAAAATGGACAAAAAATAAATAATAAATAATTTTATTTAAAAATAAAGGAGAAACTAAATCATAATAAAATGAGTATATTTCAACTAGGTTGACACCTACTCACCTATCTATCTTTTTTAAATTTCAAATTTAATGTTTCTAACTTTTTTTCAAAGGGGGGGGGGGCTTCTTGGGTTGAATTTAACAGACTTTTTGTGGGTGGGCTAATGGGTCGTGTTTCGGGCCAAGTAATGGTTTTGGGGTAGGTTCAAGCCCTCTCTTGAGTGATATTTGGTTTGGGTGGACCAACTATCAAACCTATCGAATTTTGATCATATTTTTTTCGGGTCGAGTAATGAAACTCATGGGTAATCTGACCCATAGACATCCCTGACAGTGATGGCATGGTGTCACTGTTACACCCATTATTAAGTTAAACCCTAAATCCAACTACTAATCCAATTGCAAGAGCAGAACTACAGAACTTTCTTAAAGGCAGAACTGTAGAACTTTTTAAAAGGTATATCCAATACATGAAGTTTCCTTCGTTGTGAAGTTTGGGAAGGGTTAAATTTACATAGTCTTTCCCTGCAAGCAGAATAATTATTTTTGTAACTCGAACTCGTGACTTCTAAATCACAATAAAAAAACCTTAACGATATTGCAAGACTGCCCTCGAGGGTGCTAACTTTCTCAACAGTGAATTTTAACAGACTTTTTGTGGGTGGGCTAATGGGTTGTGTTTCGGGCCGAGTAATGGTTTTGGGGTAGGCCCAAACCCTCCCTTGAGTGATATTTGGTTTGGGTGGACCAACTATCAGACCTATCGGATTTTGATCCTATTTTTTTCGGGTCGAGTAATGAAACTCATGGGTAATCTGGCCCATAGACATCTCTGACGATGATGGCGTGATGTCACTATTACACACAATATTAAATTAAATCCTAAATCCAACTACTAATCCAATTGCAAGAGCAGAACTACAGAACTTTCTAAAAGGCAGAACTGTAGAACTTTTTAAAAGGTATATCCAATACATGAAGTTTTCTTCGTTGTGAAGTTTGAGAAGGGTTAAATTTATGTAGTTTTTTCCTGCAAGCAGAATAATTATTTTTATAACTCGAACTCGTGACTTCTAAATCACAATAAAACAACCTTAATGATATTGCAAGACCGCCCTCGAGGGTACTAACTTTCTCAACAGTGTATATGCTATATGACTTGTAATTTCTAATTTTCAAAATTCAAATGATACAAGTAAACAATGACAACTCTAAACAATTTATCTTCTTTTCAAACTGTTCGCTTAGACCTAATCACCAAGTTAACTTGTCTTCTGGACAACACTAAAAACAAAAACCATTAGTACAACATTGAAGAAGTTCGGTTTTGTTCAAACCGATCATAAGCAGGCCGAGTTCTCAAGAACAAGACCCAACTTGATGCCAATCCCACCACAGAAATGCATCCCCACCACACAAAAGTGAAGAAATAACACTGTCTCCCCATGCACACGAGCATGTCGGCCATGGCTGCCAAGCTCGAGCTTGCATGGGAATCGTATACAAGTGCAGAAAGGAACCCGTAGATGAGTGAGCCGATGGGGATGTTGGTGATGAGAATGTTGTGGTTGATACCTACACTGTTAGGTCCGAAGAGCTCGGAGGTCATTGAGACTGCCGCCGCGAATATGAAGCCGGAGCTCAGACCGATTAGGGCCGTACCTGCGTGCAGTGCAGTCTCATTGACTGTTGTAGCGAGGAGGAAGAAGGCTATTGGTGTGGGTAGAAGAGCAATGGCCAGCCACCCAGTCCTCGCGAAGTAGAACTTCCTGCGCATAGAAATCAACAATATTCAATCATTTATAATGTTTTTGTTATTTATTTACTAGCAATGCTACGTGAACGTAGACTTAAAAATTAGACTTTGATAATTTTAGCCATTGATTTTACTGTGAGTTCAGTATTTATTGGGACCCACTGCCTATTCAATGGTTGAGATTATCAAGTCTAATTTTTATGTCTAGTTTTTAAGTCCATCTAGTATTACTCTTTATTTATCTGTAGGCTTGGTATTTATCAAGACCAAATACTTATTCAATGATAATAATTTATCAAATTAAGGTTTTTTAAGTCAATTTTTAAAAGCCTATTTAGCATTTTTCATTATTTATGGTCCATACTATCTAGGGGTGTTAATGAGAAGTAATGTTATGCTACTTGTATTCTAAAAAAATCATCTCCAAGGAGTTGACTCTTTTACACCAACAATGCTATGGTGATCAAGATTTTTCATCAAATTTTTTATACCAAATGAGGTGACATAATTTTTACCGTCAAATAAGTAAATCATATTAATATTCAATAATAGAGATTACGTCACATCATTTGACATAATTTTTACTGTCAAATAAGTAAATCATATTAATATTTAATTATAGAGATTGCATCACATCATTTAGAATGAAAAACTTAGTAAGAAACTTGGTAAAATATAACATTATTGCCTTTACACACCACAGTGTAGGCCTAATAAATCGAATTTTTCGTAAAATATGTGATGTGTGAAGGTGTCAATTCATTTGAAATCAATTTTTTAAAATACAAGTTGGCCACATTACTCGTTAATCGAGATTAAATCTTGTTAAACTTTAGAATGCTTCGACTTGGCTCAATTGTGATTCGTAGAGCCTGAGCTCGAGTTCGAACCACAAAATTTTTTGGACATTGGAGCCAAAGTTGGGTTGAGATAGAACACAATTTTTTAAGTTTAAAAAATTAAAAATTAGACCTTATAACTATATAGTCAAGTTTAAATAATAATTCTTCTAAAAGAAACTCGCAAAATCAATCAATTATAAAATAAAACCCTAGAACTTTAAATTTTTCAAAATTTAGAGAAGAAAGAGAAAATGAAGAGTATGGTATTTGGAGCTATTTGTGAATCAGGTTAAGATTATTCAACTTTAGTAAAAGGATTGATTTATCATAAACTTAGAATTAATTGAAAATAAAAATACAATAATTGAGTTTCGTCACACATTGCTGAAATTTAGCTTGTTCACAAAATAACGACAAACTGTAATCAGATTCAATTGATTTCTACAAGTTAAGCTGAAGTTCAAACTGCTTTGATCGTTTAACAGGACAACACCGCATCAAAATAAGTTTTAAGGACAAGAAAATAAGTTTTAAGGACAATTGGCTATAGCCCACTTCTAGTTTGCATGCATAATAAGCACTATATCAAACTTCAAGAAAATTCGTTAGAAAATCAGTATAATGGAATGCTCAGAATGCAAAGAAAGTTCAATCAATCATAAGTTGGTTTTACTTTACCTTCTAAGAACATCTGGAGCTGCTGAAAGCAATCTACCAAAGAAAGAGAAGGATGAATAGATAGTAATAAGGGTTGAGGTCTTTGAAATCTGTCCAAGTGACTCTGCTATCTGCCCTAAATTGTTACTGTACACTAGCCCAATTGTACCCCCACACAAATAAGCAAAGTAGTACAGCCAAAAGTCCAACCGTCCAACGAGCTTTCGAGCCTCGTGCTCCTCCCCGAGCATTACCAATCGATCCCTTTCCATCACCGTCTCACAACAACCCCCCGTGTTGTTTTGTCTGGTGATACCAAGTGTCAATCCATTTTCATTACCAGCAAATGCCTCTTTATTTGCTAAATCACCCTCACGACTAATCAATTCTTTATGTAGCTCAAGATCATCAGCGTCAACAAGAATGAAACTCGAGCCTTCAAGTCTAAAGCTTGAATAAATGGTCCTGTGGAACCATTCTCGAGCATAGACAATGCCCGGGATGCCTAAGGGCAAGACGAGAAGAAAAAGGGCACCACCGAAGAGACAACGAGCTGCCAATGAGTCCATTGCATGTAGGAGAAGAAGGTAGAGGCCAGTAATGGCTGCTAAGGAGTTCAATAACAGAAATATGAACTGATCAAGACGAATGGCGTCGAGGGGAAGAGGATCCAAGGAGGGTTGTCGGAGAATAGGGACGAGGGCTGCAATGGAGGTGAAGAGGGGTATGAATGCATTGAGAAGAAGGTACAACGCAGTAGAGGATGGGTTGAGAGCTTTTGCAGCAAGGTTGTATAAGGCTGCACTAACACCATTGAAGCTCACTGTGAGAGATAATGCAAGGGGTCTATTGGAGGGGAAGTTTTGAATGCAGAGAACAAAACAGATAGTGTTGAACCAACAGATGCTACACCCCGCCAACAGACAAAGTAGAAATACCTGCAACAAGTTTCAAAAAAATCAGTTTTAATCAATCAGGCAAGAAATAGAGACAAGAAACAAATAAAAACTATGGAGAAAAAAAGGTCTCGGTAATGCTAGGTTGACCAGAAAACGGAACGAGGAGAAGAGACCAAATGATGTATTATATGGTGGTGTTTTTTATCCGACTTTTATTCATTTAAAACTCGAATTGTGCTTTTTATATCTATTTTTTTTGTCGCATTGTTTTATATCAATTTTTTTCCCTGCTTTTTACTCAGTCTAGCGTTACTCCTCAAATAATGAGATCTTCCGGTTACCAACGACAACTTGGTAACTACATCAGTAAGTAATTTGAGAATGAGAAAATTGAGGTCAGGAATTCCACAATGAACAATTTTCATTGGGCCATAACCATGATGTGATGGGCCGACTGACACACAGCATGATGGGCTAATGGACTAACATATGTGCCCCATAGGCTACATACCATTTGTAGATACTGTATGCGGTCTATGGACTGGTGGGCTGCTGTACTAACGGACTAGTTCGTAGGCCACATACCATTTGCAGAGAAACAGTGTGTAAACCTAAGAGAAAAATATTGTGTGCCAAGTGGTGCATGTAGAGGAACATGGCAGTGTGATGTGATGTGATGTGTATTATGAACATATAGGGAATATTTTTTTTAGTTATCTAGAACATTCCCAATAATAAAATGTGTGCCCTAGTGTGTTAAATGACTACTCATGCCTATCGATGAGGCACTAGACACTTCTGATGCCTTCTACGTGAAACTATTATGTCCCCATGAACATATAGGGAAAGTGAAAAAGAAAAAAGTCCATGAAGAATAAAGTCAAAAAGAACAGAATAAACAAAATCTGCCAGAAAAAAATAGAAATGGTTTATACTAACCTAAAAATTATTAGAGAATATAATTAACTAAAAAAAAAAGTGTGCACATGCATGCATGTATGTGTAGGGTTGATAATCGAATTGAGCTTTGTGAGCTCAAATTGAGTTTATCGAACTCGTTTTTTAAATAAACCTAATAAATTGTTCAAACTCGATTCATTTAAAAATGAGTTGAATCTGAACTGAACTCGAGTAGTTCGATTATTTTATATATAAATGAGTCAAGCTAATGAAGCTAAAAAATTATTTATGCTCGATTCGTTTAATATTCAAGTCGAGCTCGAATCGAGTACTAATAGAACCAAGCCCGAATAATTCGGCTCAATTATCAATCCTACATGTGTGATCATAAGTGCTACATCTACGGTTACAAAATTAAAAGATAACAAATCAATAATTTTTTTACAAAAAAAAAAAAATAGTGTATGTTAGATGTCTCATTTTTCGATGGAGGAGAATAGAGGTTCACTAGACATGATCATGCTGAGAAAATATTCAATACGTGAGTGATATCGTAGTATTATAGATGCTCAGAATTACAATCTCGTTATAAACATTTGTGTGGAGTTTCTCCATTACATAATGCAATTTGTGCATTTTTTTTTCAAGACCTTATAACTACCATAGAAAGCTAGAGATACACAGTTGAAAAAAAAAAACACAAAGTCCCGATCGAATGAAAGTTACTGTTTTGTTCTCTGTATTTTGAATTCTACCAATTTCGATTAAATTTTATTGTTTTTATTAAATTTCATTGACCTCAATGTGGATAATCAAAATTCATAAAATTTGAACTGATTAGATTTAGTGGAGGATATCAAGGAGCAAACTTGTGGCTGTGCCTGTGCCTGTGCCGGTGCCTGTGCTACACCCCTCCCTCGCCTTCTAGATGGATTTATTTATCAGAATAACCGTCAAAAAATGAAAAAAGAGGACAAAAAACATGTATGTATATATATACATATACATATACATATACATATATATATATAGAGAGAGAGTTTTATTTAGGAAAAAAGGCTATAAAAATTCAAGATGTGAGTGAACAATCAAACAAAAAACAAGAGATTGTCCATTTTTCATTAACAAGAAAACCCAGAAAAAAAAATATAGGAATAAAATATGAACAAAAAAAGAAGACGAAAGGCCATAGCCATTCAAGAATTGACTGAATAATAAAAGCACTTTTTTCTAGCAAGAATAGATTAAAAACTCATGTGCAAATTCATTTAAACTTGATATTGGCGAGTTTGAATTTCATTGTCTTTCCTGATTTCGAAATATATATATATATACAGAGAAAGAGAGAGAGAGCTGACCACAAAATAAGGCAAGGCAATGATATTCCGAACGACAAGCCACTGAAGACCATAACCAAACAAACCCATGAAAGCAGCCATGAACATGACCACCCACAAGGGCAAGTACATCAAAGCCAGCCCCGACGACCAACCCAACGCCTTCCCAAGGTCCGACGCCGTTGCGAGATAGTTCAGCTGCACTTGCGACACCCCCAACACCTCCTTCATCTCCGACGAATAAGCAGAGAAATCAAAATTCGTCCCAGTAAATGCCTGAATCCATATAGTGGCGACCAAGATCATCCACTTCCTCGACTGACCCTCCATGATGATTCTGAACACGAAACGCACCAGAGGCAAGCGACGGTGAGCCTCACCTTCGACGGCGAGTTTTCCTTGTTTTGAGGTGTTGATGAATTTGCGCCTTTCTGGGTCTCTACGTGGCCTCATTTGTAAACGGTTGATCCGTTTTCAAACCATTAAATTCGGTGAAAATTCGGTGTTTTTTGTTTCCAAATTTGTGGGGGTTTTTTTTGCTTATTTTTGGTTGGCCGATGAGATGTGTATATAGAGTTGTTACACGTGGCAGATTTTGATTAGGGTAGAAGGGCAATCTGGTTAGTCACTAGTTTTCAAATCTTGTCTATTTTTATATCGTCTTTATAACCCCCAACCAAAAAAAAAATATATTTAATTAATGTGTTCAAAATATAAAATATTTATTTGAAGATCTTGTCAATTTTAGAATCGTGTCGTGTTGATGGGTCAGAGTTAACATCGCCGTGACACAAGCAATATTTGAAGACATGGCTGTATAATATTAAAAATCAAATATTGATTATAGAATATTTATATTTTATATAAAATGTATATTATTTGATTAAAATAGATAAAAAAAAATAGGAGATATACATTAAGAATGCTATATTCAATAATTTTATAAAAAAAAATTCTAATAAGTTAATGTCATAGTCTGAATGAAGAAAACAAAAACAAAAATTAAAATTATTATCTCAAAATTCTAAGTTCGAATCATACAACAGACTTTTTAAGTAATTTCATGCTTATGATTCAGTTTATAACAATTAATAAGCAAGTGGGGGTGGGACATGAAGTATTTATGAGTGAGAGGACACAAAGTAACAAGCAGTATTATTATTAGCTATTAGTACCGAGTTATTTGAGTTTGACTTGAGATCGATTTGTTTAGGTTTGATTCGTTTTCTAAACGAGCTCGAACTTGAACAAATTTTTAGACTCGTCGGCTCAATCTCGACAAGCTCGACTCGTTATGTGCAAATGCTCGGGCTCAACTTTTTTTTGGCTCGTTCAGGCTCGGCTCATTTTTTAAACGAGCCAAACTTAAACAATTTTAAGGCTCAATTAAGAAACAAATTTTTTAAGTTCGACTCAAACTTGATTCAGACTCATTCGACCAACAGTTATACAAACAAACTTCATTAAAAACCTTTCCCAGTAAATCCATCACTACTTAGCTAGATTACACGTTGATAATACGAATGTGAATTGTTCTTTTTTCACCCACGAAGTTTACACGTATGCATCACGTGGTACAGATTTTTTTTTTTTCCCGTGAAAAAAATAATTAGCTATAAGAGAACAAATAGAGTGAATAAAATGCTTAAGGATCAAATTTAGAATTGGGTGAAATTCTGTGGGCAAATTTGTAATTAATCCTTGAAACGAAACTAAACCCAAATTGTGGAGGATTGAGAGCCTCTCCATTACACTTTTTCTTAATTTTATTTAATGGTAGATCATCCACTATATATAAATGATGGGATAATCTAACATTGACTCAAAATGTAATAAAGAAAACCTGAATTCAACTATAAAATTATTTCTATTACAGCTAGCATCAACAAGGGTCCAAGAGTAACAATTGAATTAAAGAGTCCACAACATTCAAAGAACATAGCATATTATAAAGCTTATACAATAAAATAAAGGAATCAAATGAGTTTTTTTAATAATAAAAGGGAATCGAGAATTCAAAACCAGCGTGGACGAATATTATTTAACTGTAAATATATACGTTTTAAATTGGAATCTTAACAATCTCTTAAAGCTGGATTATGAGAAATTTATTTCTCATGAATAATATAATTCTGACGTGAATGACTTACTTTTGATTAAAATAAAAAAAAAATTAATCGCAATTCACGTAAACTAACTTGAAAAAAAACCTAGGAAAAAAGAAAGAAGAAGAAAACCATTGTTTAGTACACTGTTTGGCACACCCATGTGCTCGTAACTCGGAAGGACCCATGTTCTTTCATTAGACTCTTGTCGGGAGAACCCATGTCCTTATAATTAAGGTTTGCGGTAAGATGGTGGATATATTTGAAATATGATAAACGTCAACTTAGAATCAACGTTTGATCCTTTCAAGTTAATCTTTTTCATCATAGACCCTCAGTAATCAACTTTGAGTCAATAAACACATATAACTTTTTCTTTTCATATGCCTAAATTATTCATACCTCTCCACATTGGAGTATAATCGATACCCTGATTTTTCTTATCTTTGTTACTTTCAAATGTATACCACATGTGGAATTTAGAGAGAGAGAGAGATACAAAGAAGGGAAGAACATGAGTTACAAGGTGTTTAAGTGAGTGAGCTTCAAAGTTAAAAAAAAAAATACCAAGGACTGGGTAAAAATTGCAAAATACCAGGGTGAAATAATTATTCACTAAATTGTTTCAAAAAAAAAAGTATTATTCGATGACTTGAAAGATTGAAGAGCACATCAAATGAGAAATGTGATTTATTGAGAGATTTAACAAGATTCCCTTTGTATGTACTTAAAAATTTTTGAATCTTTTTTATTTTTTTTATATCCTCAAATCTAAGCCACGTTACAACCTTTTTTTATGTTGACCGTTCTGATCCTAAGTAAACTTTTAAAAAAGTGTGGTAGAAGTCTCATTTATTAGTATTCCTATCATAAGATCAATGTTTGTTTGTTGCTTGTATAAAATTACCTAATTCTCCATAAGAATGTGTGCACACCTATTGTCAATTTCATTGAGATAATCTCCGCTATTTAGTACTCTGTTTGGCACACCCACTTGCTCATAACTAGGAAGGACCCATGTTTTTTCATTGGACTCTTGCCGGGAGAACCCATGTGCTTATAATCAAGGTTGGGGATTCGAAAACGAAATACTAGGTATAAGTTAGTTTTAGTGGATTCACGTCGTAATTGTATTAGACCATTTAAATTTAATTAACAAATGGATCGAAACAAATCCAATTGCACATGGCGTGAATCAAATTATACACATCATACACAATATAAACAGACAAAAAAAAAACAAATACAATTACAACCTATCGCTCCAAATGGTTTCCAATGACAATTGCTCCAAATCCTTAGGAATTTTTTTTTTTTTTTTTGGTATTATGGGAAGAGAGAGGAATCAGCAGGAGCAACAGGAAAATGTGACCCGCCCATTGATATTTATTTTCCTCACACAACTTCAAATTCAGCACCAATTGGCACATGATCACTTGGATGCTGGTAATTTGGTAATCCACCTTGTACATCAGATGATTCTGGTTCGGGAAGTTCGAGGTAACTGACTGGTTTGATATCCCCCAGAAGGAGAAAAAAATATGTAGTCAAGAGTAGCAGTAAAACCAGGCGTGCAGTTTGTGAATTGTGGTTCTCCCCTTGTACGTGCATAAACACTATATAATGATATTGGTGGATCTTCATGACATTCAGACAGAGGCCCCAAGGAAGAACCGCCTGAAACAAGGTATTGATTTACTTGAAACAACATGAATCTTGTTAAGATAATTACGAGAATTCCAAAACACAGTGTTTCAACTACTTTGTAAAGACCACTTTTAAACTATGCAGAGAAAATTCATTCCTCTCAAACTGCACAAAAAACAGACTGCGAGAGTATGTGCCTGCACCATAAGGGTTGAGATGAGAGGGGCAGAACATGTTGGGGATTGTGTAGCACACTAATGGGCGGTGAGAGAGAGAGAGAGAGGGTTGCAGTCCTTAGGATACTCTTGCCGAAAATGAGGACACAATGGTGGTTCTTCAATGATACTTGCAGCATGTCATATGTGGAATACTGATTGTGGTCCTTAGAGCAAGAGGTTGGTGGTGGTTCACAGCGATCGCATGCCATGATTTGCTGAAATGTCATAGGAAAGACGTGGTTTTGATGGCTTGCTGCCGAGGATGAGGGGAAAGCCGAGGAGAGAAGGCAACAAATTGGTTGGACTTTTTCAAGTTTGGAGGATACAATTGCCTTTTTTGTTACTTGTTGCTCTGGCAGCAACATTTTTATTCTAGCAAAATTGCCAGCCAAAAAAGGGTCAACTTAGAAATTATTGGGAATGAAACAATATTGATGCTATCTCATTTGCTCAATAAATCTTTAATCTAGAGAGAACTAGGCCACAGAAGCAAAGGATTTTAGCAACTCTCTCCTGCATCCACATGGATTGACATGAAAATACGCAATCTTAGTATATATTGGTTCCTCCCAATCATAAGTTATAAATATTAATCAAATTTTTATCTTAGTCTAACTTTGAGTGGCACAAGTCACACCCAAATTTCGTAAAGTAGATCTGTAAATATAAGCATATTGAAATATAAATACTTAAATTTCCCCCTCTCTAATAGATTTGAAGTAAATGGTTGTTTAACAGTATCAGAGCAAGAGATCCTGTATTTGAACCTTACTGCCCCGTGATAATTATCCAAATTTTCACATGCTAAACTCAAAATCTAGCCAGCACAAGAGGGAGTGTGTTGAAATGTAACTACTTAAGTTGCACCCTCTCTAGCTTAAGCTTTTGGAGTAAATTGTTGTTTAACAATTCAAATAACACGAAGGAATGAAATCTCGATACACAAAGAATTATTTGATTGTAGAGCATACTTGCATCTGCAACTAAACTCCCGTCAACAATTTTGGCAAACCGTGAAAGAAAGATCTCAGCCAATCAAAGACAGCCAAGCATTAAAGTAAGAATTGAAATTTCCAAGTAGAAATCGTGGAGTACTGACAAACCTTATCTCCAGGGACTGAATTGAAGTCACCGGCAACAATTACAGAAGGTGTGCTTTCAAATTTGTGTGATAACAGCATTTTGAATTGAGCTAAGCGTGACAGCAAGTATTTAGCTTGCGCAAGCTTAACATCGGCCCATTCTGGATCCCTGGAGCAGCAAAGCTCAATACTGATAGTCAACAATCTGAACCAAAAAAAGATAACGAATATTCCATTCAGAGGTAAAGACACACAAATACAAGACATAGCCAACAGAGGTGGGAAACTTAAACCAGTTTACCAGTAAAGGTGAGTGTTTGCAACAATAACGAGATGGCCAGAAGGATCCTTAAGCCTGAAGGCAGCCATGATACCAACGCAGTCATGTTTTAATCTTACAAGCAGATCATTAGGATCTCCACGATCCTCTCGGTTATTTTTTGGCTCTAAATCTGAAAATGAGTCATTTAAGAAATAAGTCACCAACATAATATGATCTATGAATAGTATAACAGGAATAATTTGGATACAAAATACAACCTTTTACTCCGGCATCTTTATTTCCACCACATAGCAGCGCATCATTATTTTTTACCACACATGATGTTGCTCCACTTTGTACTGAGCTTACAAGATCATTGTAATCTATTTTCTCATCTATGACCAATTCTGAACTGAATAAAGTATCAAAAACAAAGCTTACATAAAAGCACAGGAAAACAACGTCAACTCTCTCACCTTTAAAATAGACAACTACTAGAACTTGACTGTTGTTCAGCGGCAGAACTCCAATATGAAATTGGCAAGTCAATTCAATGCAAAAGAGTTGATTTCAAACCAGGAACTGTAATGATAAGGAAGATAATCTACCATAAATACATGATGATCCCCTGAAGTTGCATGGAATAGTTCAAGAAAATTTGCCAAAGGTACATCAGACCCCAACATACCAAGTCATCATGAATTTACAGACGGGTGGCAAAAACATCAAAGTTGATCAGTTATTTTGAACTAAAAAAAGAAAAGGTTCAGTATACCTATTAGGTTTATAAAAGATCCCACACCCATCACGCTTTTGCCCACTTCTCTGAATGTAGATACTTGAGTAGCCATGGCTTTCGATATTTCTTTTGTAGAAGCTATCATACTCATCTAGCTCCTAGTGAAATTTGCAATATCGATTTAAAGAAGAAAACCAAAAGACCATGGAGAATGAAGCTTAACAGAGGTTACAAACAAGCAAGCTTTAAAATGAGTCTACACTACTGATTATAACGAGAAATTGATGAAAACCTGTAAGCAAATGAAATCAGCCCCAAGGCTCTTGAGAACAGTCAATATTGCCTGGGAACGAGGTTTCCACTTGTAACAAACAAACACTAGTCTTAATACTTCAAGAATCTGTCGAACTTGAAATCTAATTTGCAAGAACCGTATGCAAACTTGACCATGATTTGTGCACATTTAAGTAGCATGCCATCTCTATAATGAGGTTTACTGAAAACTGAAAAGATAATTTCTATGTATACTTTTTTGACAATTACAGATGTCGCATATCTGTAAAGAAACTACCTTAGATTTTCAACAGTAACATCACATATTATAGAGGACGTGCGTGAAATAGCCCAACCAAATATGGACCAACTATATGATTTTACTAAGCCAGGATTACCTAATCAATCGTGGTATAGCCTTGCAAGTTTATATGCATTACCAGTGACCCCGTAGAACTGTACTCTCTCTCTCTCTCTCTCATACACAAATACACTGAGCATTCATGATTGCCTCCTATATAAACCTAACATGAATCACTCTACAATCAAATTTTGAATTATTAGCTAAATATATGTGGAACCAACAAAACACGACTATTGATCGCCGAATGCCAGAAGGTCGAAGAAGATGGTGACATGGTGACCTGATGACAGTTGAGCCAGTGACCAAAGTCCCGGTGAATGATAGACGTAACTATAACAGTCTAAGAGAGTTAGAGGGCAAGGAATGTAAAAACTATTTCAGTGAGATACCTAATTCTTCAATAGCATTGACCAATAAAGAAGAGATATACTTAAAAATAAAAGAATTCAAAGAATCAGTTATGTAACATAATATACTTAAAATGATAGGATTTGCCTGAGACAAGGCGATGGAGAGTGTGGAAAAAGAGCAGAGTGTGTAAAAAGAGCACTCTTCACATATGCCTTCAAAGTTAAATGGCATTAAGGGTTAAAATTAATCAGGGAAAATTTAGCTTCAACATAAGCAAATAGGCTTCTCCTCCCAACAAAGAAAAAAACAATGAAACTACTCAACAAGTGATGTGGTTCAGTGGAGGGAGAGAGGATCTTTGAGTTCATCCATCAAAAAAGTCGGCGACCCTTGGGCGTGGTACTCATATAAATGCAGAGCGGGGCCTGGGGGGAATTCATGTAGGAATGAAACAGCACAATTGAATAAGCAATATCATATATTTGATTTGTCACACAATTTCACTCGTCAGGGCCATACCAAAGCTGCATTTTCTTAGGAATCTAGTTCGTCAATCTATGATGGGAAATTCTACGCTAAGAGGGATTTGTTAATGTTGGATTTTTTAGAATGCACATCCCCTTGAATCTTGATTTGCATAACTCACTTCTTCATATTCATCCTTCGTTATTTTGACATGTACATAGGCATGCAAGTATAACCTCTGAGGCTAATTAAATAGTATTTATGGAAATGTGATCAATAAATGTATCCTCTAGAATGCTTTCATCTTACCCCCTCAAAACCCAACATTATATCTTTGGCCCAGAAAAATACTTGTCAAGTTTCTAGAGTGCCACTTTACAATGGACATAAATGCAACAAAGAAAAGATATGCCATGAAAGAAAAATAAATGAAATCAATTAGACAAACAAAAACACCACAAAAAGGCCTGTCTACCTGAGCCAAGATGTTGTATGAGACAAGACAGAATTTGAAGCCTGTAATATTACATTTGACATGGCATGGTTAGAGTGGGTGGAAAAAAATTCAAAAACAGGTGACACCCAAAAAGGAATGAATTTTTTTTTTAAAGAATCAAATAGACCAATTCAACAGCAATATACGTACCATCAGGTTTACTTATCGAAGTAATCTCACTCTGTTCAACTGGAACAAACTTCCGACATAATGGATCTGCTGTTGTGCTCATTTTGCTAAAAAAAATTGTGCTGCAAATTACAAACTTAAATTTCAATTCCCGGGAATAAAATTTGGACAGTTTCAACTGAGCTTTGATTTTCACACATCTTATGCTCCATTTGGTTGCTCAAAGTACAGGATTATCAATGAAAGAGGGCCTCCACCCAACTGCCAACAAAGCAACTAATTGGCTTTTGCATACATAATCAATGCATAGGATTCACAATTTCTTTAATACCCTCCCCTCTTTATTTTCAGTTGAAGGGAAATATTCAAATGTATGTCTTTATTATTTCAATAATTTCAATAGAGAGCAGAAATCAACTTTAATGTTTATTGGCAAAATTTTTTGCTTTTTAGAGCAAAACTCGACGTAATGTTTCCTACCAAAAGCATTATAATTTATAATCAGTTAAGAACTTACAAACTAACCAAACAGTGCCTCAATAACAGGACAACAATCATAAGAAGTAAAATGCAAGGCAAGGTTCATGAGGTCCAAATCAATTCAAAAAAAGAAATAAAGTCTTTACCTTTGGATATTCTCTGAGCGACCAAAAAGAGTAAACGTTAGTTGGAGCATATTTGTGGATTGAGGGTTGTGGGTTTTACAATATAGTGCCATTCACTTACTTCTTTTTTATCAAAGCTGATTGTTAAATTAAACATCAGAAATCAAAAAAAAATCAAAGACCCACAATTTATATATGAATTTGCACATGTATAAATCTGTGTGGAGAGAGAGAGAGCATACCTTAGAGCGGCGGAGGAAGAAAGAGAGAGGCGAGGAGAGGAAGTGCCACCATTTAACATGGTATTTTTTATATTTACAGCCGAAGAAGCTTTGTGTATATTTTTTGGACTGCCTACCAATGTTTATTTGAAAGTTCAAATTGACCAACGCCAGTACAGGCACAGCCCGATACGACCTCTTGTTTGTTTTCGTCGTATTCTTATTACTATTTCAAATTGAAGTTTCTTTTTTTATATATATTTTTATTTATTTAAATTATTAAACTTTATGAATAAAATAAATTTTGACACTGAGTTTTAATAACATTATTAATGCTTCTTTTTGTTTTTTTGGATAAAAAAAAGTATTGAGAGGCAACCAGGCTGGAACTCCTGCTTGGTCGCGACAATAATAGTCCAAACTCACGAGGGAAGGCCATCACTAAGGCCTAAATGGCAAGAAATTATAGGCACTCCCAAAAGTTGACTCCAGTTATACAGCTACTAGTAGAAGCCATGCCTGTAAATTGATCAAATTTTAATCTAAATCTGATCTGAATTTGAGTCCATTTATATATATATATATATGAAATTAAACAGAAACTATTAAATAGAATAATTATTTGATTAAATTAAGTTGAAAGTTAACTTAAGTTTTGTAAAATTATTAATTTTTTATGAAAATTTATTAGAATTTCAATTTTTAGATCAAATCGGATATCCAATTATTAACGGATTCAAACATGGATTAAGATTTTAAAATTCGTCAGGTAAACGAATTGAATTCAAAACTCAAATTTTTATCAAATTTAAATTTGGATAAATCAAAATCTGATACAGATCTAATTCGTTAACAACTCTAATGAAAGTGACAAGGATCCCCGTAAATCGAACGTTGCTTGTTGTCCTCATAAAAGTCAATAAAGACCCCAAATGGGGTACAACAAACTATCAACTCGGTTATTAATCGAATCGAACTTGTTTGAGTTTCATATACTTGACTCAATTTGGTAATTAAATTATAATAATTTTATAAATAAAATCTATCCAAGCCTAGCCCAACTTCAATTTATTTAATAATTCAAAAAAACTCAAAATCAAACTAAACTTAAAAATTAGCTCAAGCTACTCAAATTATTTAATGGTGTCTGGAATATAATTATCACTATTCTTTATCTACCAATAATCATCCGATCTAATAACTACACATCACCGTTTTATGAAATTTTCCCCCCATCACATCAATAAGATCATCGCTTACAATGAGAACTTATGCGGTACTGTTAGTGGTATCGATATCGAAAATTATAATTTTTTAAGATTAAGTTATAATTTTTTTAAAGTATAAGTTACAACTTCAAAATTTATAATCGATTATAAAATATTAAGATCGATACCACATTTTTCGTGATCAATCATGAATGTCTGTGATCAATCATAACCTTCATGTAGTAGTTATAACTTCTCCTTTTAAAATTATAATTTTATCATATAAAGTAATTAGTTATTTCTCATGCCTTAAGACACGTAGTAGTCAAAAAAATATTCAACAATAAATATATTTGTGTACACGGTCAAAATTAAATCCCAAATATAGAGAAAAGATAACAGAATTTAAGTACTGGTTATAATGACGATGTTGGGAGATGGTGATGGTTGTGGTGGGTGGCGACGACTGTGATAGTGGTGGTAGCCTTAGGTGGCAACGGTGATGGTGGTGGTGCTTTTTGGGTGACAATGGTGATGGTGATGGTGATAGTGACAACCATGGATGACAGTGGTGGTGATAGGTGTGGGTAGTGGTGAGTGTGGGTGGTGGTGGGCGACGGTGATGGTGGTTGGCAGTGGTTGTATTGGTGGACGGTGACAACGGTGGTGGTGGGCAACGACAGGTGTTTCTAAGCGACAGTGTGATAGGTGGTGGCGAATGTAGTGGTAGGTGTAGTGGGGGTGGATGATAGTGGCTAGCAACGAATGGTGGACGATGACAAGTGATGGTGGTGGGTTGTGGTAGTGGGTGGTGGTGGGGCAACAATAGTGGTGGTGGGTGCTAACGGTGGGAGACAATGGTAGTTAGATGATGGTGGTAGTGAGATGATGATGGTAATAGTAATAAATATAAAAATGAGATGACAATGGCAGTAGGTGGTGGCGATGGTAACAATCGGTGGTGGGTGGCGATGGCAGAGCAATGACTATGGTGATGAGGGTGGCGGCGATGGTGGGGTGGCAGCGACGGTAGTGGTGATGGTCGTGGGGGTGGTGATGATAGGATAGTGGTGGTGATGGTAGGGTGGCGACAATGGTGGTGGTAGTGGGGTGGCGGTGGAAGTGGTGGTAGTAATGGCAGTAGTGGTGGTAGTGGTTGTTATGGCAGAGGTGGTGGTGGGGTGGCAGCGCCGATGGTGGTGGTGGGCGGTTTCAAATACAATTTTTTTTAAAGTATTTAGGAGAAGATATAAATTCTAGAAGTACTTTTAAAAAGTTATCTCAAATACACTTTTAGAGTCTTGTTTTCTCTATTAAATTTGAAATGTTAATATTAGCCGTCGGATTAACTTTAAAATAAAATTTAAAGAGATCTCAACCACGAAAAGTAAAAATTGTTTTGTTTATCTTTTAAAATTTGAATTGTATTGTACTTTATTATATAGATAATCGATGATACTAAATTTGCTACGGTAGAGTCTCCCCATTACATAGTACAATTTGTCTATTTTTTGTCATACCTTATAACCACCATAGAAAGCTAGAGATACACAGGTGGAAAAAAACAAGGGAAACAACTTATTTCTAAATTAATGAGGTCTTCCCTTCAAGTTTCATTAGAGACAAAAAAGAGAGATTGTTCTTTCTTCTCCTCCACTGCTCACTAAGCTCCCTCTCTTTCTCTTCAACTTTTTCTTCACCTTTCTCTCTCTTTCGCAACTACGAAGGCTTTAAATCTGAGCACAAATCTGTGCATATACACAGATCTGAGAATAAATATGTTCATTCTTCTTGTCTATCGCCTCACTGAGCTCTTTCTCTCTCTTTCACAACTTCTTCTTCTCTGCCTCATTGTGCGTTTATGTGAGTGTGTGAGTGTGTTTGAGCGTCTGTGTGTGTGTCTTTATGTGTGTGTTGTATGTGTGTGTGTGTGTGCATCTCTGTGTGTGTATATGTTTTGTGGAGAGAGAGAGGAGGGAGAGGGAAAGAGAGAGAGAGAGAGAGATGGGAATTCGGGGTTCAGCGGATTATTGTCCAAACAAATTTTACAATTTTTTGTTTTTTAAAATTATTTTCAAAAACATATAACCAAATAGGTTTTGCAATCTTAAAATTTTCAAAAAACACTATCTTAAAATTCTTCTCAAAAATTATTTTCGCATACTTGCTTATTAATTATTATAAATGTTCAAAAATTACAATAGACTTTCTAACTAATTTCATGTTTATGATTTAGTTTATAATAATTAATAAGCGAGTGGGGTGGGACACGAAGTATTTATGAGTGAGAGGCAAGAGTATTATTATTAGCCATTAGTACTCAGTTACTTGTTAATTGCTTAGTCACTATGAATAAACTTCATTTATATAGAAAGATACAGTTTAATGATGCACAAATTGATCTCGTGCAAGATCAACAGTCAAGTATATGAACGGGTGTAATTAATTAACAATAAATAAGATAATCAATGGCAAAACAGTAAATATGGAGTCAACACGCAGATTTATAGTGGTTCGGTTCGAGTGACCTACTCCACTCTCGAGAATTATAGCGGTGGCCGGAGATCTTCATTGATGAATAAAAGTCACCGGGAGAGTACACTCCAGGAGAATTACAATGCTTTGGAAGAGAGAGAAAGACTTGGTGTGTAGAGAGGTGTACTGTGTATAGGGATCTCAAAAAGTAGAGGCTTCAAAGTCATGCCCTCTATGTGGAGAGGGTTTACATTATATAGGTATGGAGAGACGGTGAAACAGTAATGTGAGAGAGAGGGTTCTACTATTTTGGTAAGTACAATTAAAGTAGAACTAAATCTCCATGAATGCATATCCCAATATTCTCTCTCACGTGCTCCAATCCCTTCGGGCTTCCTGGATCCTGAGTTGGGTCGAATTGGTTCGGAGTGGCAAAGTGAGGAGGGAGACCATAAAGACGGCGCCCATATGAGGAAGGGAGAGCGTGGAATGGTGTGGGTAGTGCCCCCTTGGGTGGTGCTAGGGGCTTGGGCGACCCCCTTGGGCGGCTCATTTGGGTGTTGGTGACTTGAGCCCTTTTTGGGCACCGGTGACTTGAGCCTTATTAATTCATTAGGTCTGACCCAATTTGATTTCGGGCTCATCATAACTAATGAGTTGTACAAGAGCAAAAACCTTCCCTAGTAAATTCATCACTACCTAGGGTGTTAATAAAGAGGAGCTTTTCAGGCTAAGTTCAAACTTGGTTTGAATAGGACTCGATTTATGTTTTAAATAAATTGAATTTAAATAATTTTTTAGACTCATTTTTTCAAATTAGCCTAAAAAATTCGACTCAAGTTCGGCTCGTTTATATGTAAAATAATCTAACTGTTCGGGCTCAGTTTATTTTTTAAATAAATTGAGTTTGAATAATTTTTTAAACTCATTTAAAAAAATGAATTTGACAAACTCAAACTCAAGTTTGTAAAAATCGACTCAATTAAAGCTCTATCACTAGCTCATATTGAAAGCTAAGGTCTAAAAAAAAATTTCCTTCGTAGTCCCAAGTTTGCAGTAGATATCTCGATTAGTCTAATATGCGTGAGTCTCGATCAATTACGTATGATTTAACTTCTAATAATCGAATTTAATGTGATCCGAAGTATTTATTAGTGAGAAGACATAAAGTAACAAGAAGCATTATTTAGCCATAAGCCAGTTACTTTCTTACTTGCAGAGTTGTTTTAAACAAACTTTACTAATTATCAGAATGATACACAACTAATGGGATGTACAAGAACAAAAACATTCTCAAGTAAACCCGTCAAGTAACTCGGATGAAAAGGTCTCAAAAATTATTATTTCAATATTTCATTTTCGAGTCTTGCGGGAGATGTTCTCACGTAATTTGTGAA